TCTGGTTGTTAGGAGGGACATCGAACTCGTGACTTCCGAAGATACCAGACTTTCATCAAGAGACGTCATAACTCTTCCGAATGAAGACCTCCTAATTCCTAGGGCAGAGTTAAATGGTTTGAATTATTTATTCTGGTTGGCATCTTTTTAGCGACATACTTTTCTACGGAGTGGGGTCGCCAACCCCATACCCAACCCTCCTCCTTTATCCTGGCTAACAACTGGCAGTATACCAAGACGTTCATTTTCGTCAAGACTTCAACACCAGGGCTGTTCTATATTCTCCTCACTGTATATATGTCAGGATATTAGTTTTCTTTTTGTGGGAGGCACTGTTATATTAGCAAAATTAGTCTGTGTTTGTTGCCATGTAGAATATGAGGATTAAACTATCTACCAAGTCCAAATCCAAGGGACCCATCTTGTCCCAAATTCCTACAAATGTAGCGACGTTTTCGTTACCAAGTTACTAAGTGGCGAAATCGAGAAGAAACTGGACTATACATACTTGTTCCAGTTTTCACTTTGGATATATCAGTAAGTTTCTCCTGATACATGACTTAGCAATCCAGTTTCTTATAAGAGTTCTATATCAGATACATTAGATCTACCAATAGTTATTATCTCTCTGGTATCCAGAATGTTAATCAGCTTCACAGCTCCTACAGAATCTTGGCATTGACATGAATCACCATAACTCGCTATTGGAAGAAAATTATGCTACTATTGCAGTTTGTTCGATTTTGCTTGGTTAGCTACTAGTTTGCTAGGATTTTGCATGTGGTGAAATAAGCTAAGAGTGAACCAAACAAAAATGTAATGGTATTACTCGACAAACACACACATCGAACCTATATCGTATGCTATCCAGAGGGATAAAAATAGAATTATCAGTTTCAATTCTGATCTGTTCACTTTTACAAATCACTGGTAATTCTTCGTATTACAATACACCTAGGCTGACATCATTACGGAGCACTGGTTCTGTAAGTTGGCTACCGAAATTATTTGTGGCCCCTACAGGTGCTCATTGTAAGAGAATCCGTGATAAATTGGATTTTTTCCTAGATTCGTTAGTGATTCAGGTTTGGACTTGGAAGTTCCTGAATCACCAATGTAAGGAACATACTTCTCGGCAAATAGAGACTTTAAATCCACAAGAGTTACTTAAAGATTCAGAATAATTCATCTAAGTTCAGGCCCAATACTGACCCATATTTTGTTGAGGTGTTTGGTCATCTAACAGAGTGATGGTCGTATGAACGTGCGGATATGGCGTACAAAGCCTTGGCCAAATATTGAAAGTGAAAAGAAGGCCCAAAGCTTTATTTTAAAAATGGGCGAAGGATAGATTCAAACTTCGGTCTTCATATCAAAAGTCTGAAGTACGACGACCTTATTTGTTTGTTCCTTCAGAACTAACCTTAGTAAATTAAGGTCGCATTTAGCACATTTGTGAATTAGCGTAGTCAAGGTGATTTGACAGTATTTGTAAAATACCTTATAAAAATTGTTATATAAAACAAATCAGCCTCCTACTCCACAAAGAGCACCTTTTCGTGCTATTAGCTTTTTATATGCTACAAAACATTTTTTTGCTATTATTCAAGTGGCTTGAATTTAACAGAAAAATCTAGAATCGACTGAGAAGAAATCACTCTTATTTATTCTGTATCATGGAAAAGTTGTTGAATATTGGCTAAAAGACTATCTTCTCGGAACTATCGGATACCTGGAACCGTAGTGAAACGACAAGAAAAGGGTCAAAGAAATCGAATGGTTTGTACTACTTGGCTAAATATATTTTGGAAAGATACATTCATCATTGTTGTACTCTAAGATGTTTCCCTGGATATATTAATAAAATAGGCTGCTTATTTTTTTTCTGAAAGTACGTTTAGCAGGGTTCTGTTTCTCGACTCAGAACAAACTTTGTTACCAAATCGATGGATTTTTACTGAAAAAACAATTGTCATGCAGAAAGAAATCAGCCTTCACTGGCTAGTGAAAAGTTGCTAGATTTCAGATTTAGGGTTCTGATTAAGACTCACACATGCCTTTGGGTTAATAAGTATTGGCATCCCCTAAATAAGTTTTGAAAAAATTATCTAACCTGAAATTGGAGTTTTTGATCATATCTTTTGTTTGAGTTCTCATGGGTAACTTCAAAGTCTAAATACCTTCGAAACATCTAGCCTTTCATTGTTTTAATCTTAGTTTGAAGGTAGATCGCATGTTAATAGAATATGAAGATTACTGTATAGCAGATAACTCATTGAAGATGGAATAGTAGGAAGAAAATAAGCTACTTAGCTAGCTCAGATGTGGCATATACTTGTATTTGGTAATTAAGTATTAAACGACGATTATCCTCGACATAAGTTTATAAATAAGACCATCCAATGAATAAAACTAGAGGTTGATGAGCTCAGAGTTTGTTTCATTCGCTATTTTGAATTTTGTTAATTGCCCAGAGTTATAAAAACGAGATAAGCAGGACTTAACACTTAGCCGTACCTAATTTTTATGTCGGTGTATCATTCAAAGGCGTAAGTATATACACCGAAAGTGTTGTACATATTGTGAAACTAAAAACTACTAGTCTTTACATAACCATAGAAATCGTGAACAGTTGCGATTACAACATTGAGTATTTTACTGCCTTGATTCTCTTTTACACACTGAGCCTTCGGATCTATGTTCTTTGATCTAAAATTGAAATAGGAAACATCTCACGAGCGTAAAATTTTAAGGGTTATGTATGTTAAGTTGCCGAATGGCTTAACTTATGTTGTACATTGAAAACATAAATTATGTTTTCATTTGATGGTTTCCGGAATTGAAGGTGTTTTATTTTCTCAAAACTTTTTCGAATGCCTTACTCAGGGAAAGAAGCCTGAAGTAGGAAATAACCTGGAAAAACCACCGGATTACTGATCAGATGCTAAAGAATACAATTAAACATTTACATGAAACTTTATATGGTTCTGAAATGCTTGGAAATAGTTTTATTATTATGATACTGAATCCTCTTTTTAAGTGGTAGGGTTGCAATTATTTTCAGAGATTTATTTTTCACATGCTTAAAATGGTTTTATTCTTCTCTGTCCGAAAAAGAAAAGTCTTCAAACAATATAATACGGTGCTAACTTTTGAGCTACTTCTACTCGTTAACTATAAGATGTGATTTATACATATAAATCTAAATTAGATGAGTTGGTTGACAAAAGGTGTAGCAAGCTGGAGTTATTTAACGCTGTCTTACAGCAATATACCTGATTTGTGGTTGAACTGTTAGAATTCCAAGTTGTTTAAGAATGACATGCATCATCTCTCGCACATGGATTTTGTCAAGCATACATTAGGCTAATGAGTTTGTTTCACTTTAACGATCTATTATTTGATGAATGAAATTTGTCAGGAAGTATGGTTGGGTCCTTATTTTGCTGTTCTTTTAAACGTTTCATCAAATTTTTCTGGGGACTGAAACGGAGTAATATAAACCGAGGTTCCCAATGATGCATGAATTTATTTAGAGTCACGTAGGCGGTAAATGTCTAAAATCAGAACAACAACACTCACTGCCGTTTCTTCCATCTCCTATTAGGACCATTAAAAATGGATAATATATTGTGCTGCACCAGCTGTATATTAAGTTATTGATTTAAGACATCTTTATCAATATCCTTGCTGATTCTAAGCTTTTGGTTTAAGAGAAACAGGTACATATGTCTCTCGTTGTTAATTAGAACATAATGGTATGTTTTTGGCTTGAGGAAAAACTTTGAACCTACTTGTCCCTTCAAATAAACCCCATTTCATTGATGGATGAGAAATACCACTAATCCTCAGTAGTTCGCAAAGCCAGAAACACTGACATAATTACAGTCACTCAGATATGTGCAACAAACTATTCAGGCTCTTAGAGACAAGTATCCTAGAAAACATAATCATAAATGGCTCTTTTCAACCGATGTTTATCCGGAGGTTTAGTTATAAAACACTAATTAAATTTTGCTATCTACCCAGATTTCATTAATTCATTCTTGGAAGGTTTATACTGAAGTGATACTTGATTTCTTAACTAACTATATTTTACGGGAAAAAGCGGACGAAATTATAATCTTTTCTGTATTTTTCAAAACAAATAAAAAAGACTTTCACGAAAGATTAAAAAGAGGATTCATATAAAGTGTTACTTTCATACCGAGTAGAGTTATTATAAATTGGAGAATTTGTACAAAATGTTTGTATATGAGAATTGTTCAAGATTAGTGCGTATCAGTTTCGATTTGGAAAATGCTTACAGACTACTGCGGAATTATGCAAATTGTGCAAAGTTCATTTGCACTTGTTTAAAAGATTTCATATATTTATTTCATGTTTGTTACTTTGAACAATTCATCAGTAAATAGTGGACTCAGATTTTGGTTTATTAGCGCTTCAGATGTAAGTTTAAAGAGCAGTGTTATTTTACTCACTGACTAGAAATATATATTATTGAAGAGTGCAAACTAAGAAGAAACTTAAATCTATGATCACTTACTGTTATAATTATATTTTAATGTAACTTATTTAGAAATGCTATGCATTTTCTGGTTTTAGGTTAAACATTTTATCATTACACTTATCCCTAAATGAACTATTATGAGTCAATTCAGTTATCAAATTTGACTTAAAAAACGCCTTACAGTGTTTCGTATGTAATAAAATAACTCGATTTATAGGATATTAGAAATCTCGTCCCGTAGTTAGGTCCAGACCTTTATAAAATTGTAACCTTCATGACTGAAAAACAAGTGAAATCTTTCAAACTTATTGGACAGTGTAATTTGTTTAAAAACATTGATGAAAACCAAGGTTTTTTTTGTAAGGCTGTATTTAAATTTCATCATTAATATAAGTAATCGTTCTGAGATATTTGTTTTTTTAATTTCAGATTTACTAACAAAACAAACAACATTTTATTATTATAATTATAATTAAAATTAAATGATCTTATGAGAATTTTGTTTCGAAAAAAAATAACTCCACTAGCTACTAATGTTCAGGTAAATGTAAACAATGTATTTAAATCATATGATGTGAATAAAAATAATAATTTTGAAAATATTACATATTGTGAAGTAGAGAATACAAACTCAACTGAAAAAGATGTTACATCAGGTAGGTTAAACAATGTGAGATAAATTTCATTTTTGTACAGTAAATAATAATTGTTTGGTTGCTTAAAATGAACCTGATTCAACACACCTTTTTTGTAATCTATTGTTTCTTCTATGTGGATGATATATAAAGCTAGATATCATGTGAGGTCTTAGAGTTTTTTTACTGAATTGTAAATTTGAATTCGAATCATGATAACCAAACTAGTTAAAATGTGTAATGTGTATTTCCAGTATAATGATGATTTATAACGACAGTTATCTTCAAATAATAAACTATGCCAAACATCTGCGATCGCTTAATTTTGATTGAGTGTTGCACAACAAGGGTGAACATAACCCCAGTTCTTTAAAACATTCATCATCTTAGGTTCGAAGAACATCATCAGCACAAGTTCATGGAATATATTTTTAAAAAGTTGTTTAAATACAACCTAGCTGTGTAGTTAAATATTTCAGTAATGGCATTAAATATTTTGAGTGATTGATTGAAAACACATCTTCAAGTATTCTTTCACAAATAAATGTTTTAAATAATCATAAAGAAGAGCATAATTTTAATAGATTTGAACAAATAAATTCAGTTAATCTAATTATCTCCGCAAAGTAAGTTGTGTCCAAGCAGTTCCAGTAAGGTAACCGACTTAAAGGAATCAAACGCAAAGAATTAAATCCTTTGTTAATAATCCATCCTAGATTAACCAGTTCATGTTAAAAAATTCATTTACTAAATGCTGATTAATCAGAAGAAAAAGAAAGAATTCAACTGACTAATCCTTACTTACTAAACATTGCATTATGAAATAAAAATTTTCACAAATCCATCACTTAACTACTTCCATTAATGGTTTTCGATTACAAAGTAATCAGTTTCTCACAAATTTATTCTAAGCTAAATTTATTTATAACCTGTAATTTATTATTCTAGTGTTATTAATTCGTTCGAAACCATTACTTTAGATATTGAACAATTTAATAATTTTGGTGAGATATAATTGAATTGATCAAGTTATACATTAACACCGTTAGATACCGGCTCAGTGGTCCGATGGTTAGGCGTTCGCCTACGATACCGAAGGTCTTGGGTTCTAATCCTGCGGGTGCAGGAGTCGTGGATGCGCACTGCTGATGAGTCCCATACCAGGACGAAACGGCCGTCCAATGCTTCCAGGTTTCTAATGCTGGTCTAACGTTGATCGATTCATGGTTTCAAAAATGTGTAACTTAACAATTTTCACAACCCTGTAATGCATATAATATCTTCACACTGACCGTAGAAAATTACTTTTAACACAAAGTGAACTACAATAATTCATAATCAAACTATCAATTACTTTCTTATTTTTTTTATATTGAAATTTTAGATATCCAACCATTAAATATAAACTATAATTTGTTTCCTCATCCTTTAACAATCGATAATAATACTGAGAAGAATAAATTAACAAATGATAAAAACAATGAAAATAAAACTAACGAAGATCATTCATGTTTAACTGATTCAAAATCATGTGATAAAGAGAATTTATCAAGTTATGTAGACAATGAACCTTCAGAAAATACTACCGAATTCTTAAATGAACAAACATTAAACATACATAAAAATGATTGTGAACTTTTAGAAAATGTCGATGAAACAATAACTAGTAAACATGAATTAATAAAAGAAGTTGCACAAAATGTGAAATCAAAGTCATCTACTTTTCCTGTTGTAGACAGTAGTAGTAATAATATTAATAATAATAATAATCAAAATAAATTATTTCAACGACTTAAAACTGAACGTCACTGTTATAATGGTGTAGAATCTAATACAATTGATCGAAATAGTCGACTATCAATAGAACGTGTAAAAGCAGCTAAAGATGAAGTTGATGATGCCATAAAAGTATGTATGTTGATATGTAAAAATTTCACTATTTAATAAACTACTGATATTGAAGACGTTGTTAATTCTTTCCACTTTTGATAAGGAATGATCTGTTACTTGTCCCGATAATATGGAGTACAGAACATGATTCTTTCCATGAAAAAAGGATATTGTACGTTACTATAATCGGAAATAGATAGTGTATTTCAATTAGACAAGTTGATAAGCAACGAGAGATATATAACATAGAAATGATTTGACCATATGCCATGCATTTGAGTACAAAATTAAATAAATATACATTTGTATTGTTTTTTTTTAAATGACAACTCAAGAGATAAGAATATTGGTAAAATAAACAAAAGGTGGAATGAAATTTTACATTATTTTGAAGCTTGAATATTTTCCTATCGACAAAGGCTATGGTTAAGTTTGACTATATTGATGAAAGGGAGTGTCAAAGTTGTTTAAGTGCATGTTTAAATTGGATTGTTTGTTTTAGATTTAATTTTCAACCTATCAAATATGAAGATGAGCTTTTCAGTCACTGGTAAAATACGTCACATTTGCTAGTAGTATGTTATATTTTTTCTTAACCATAAAGCTACTTTACAATTTTGATTTGGTAATAATAACACTGTATGAATGACCAACAAATTCATGATTTTCCGCTATCCTAAATAATAAGTGTTTTGATTATTGTGTAACATGAACATCATACATGCATTAATTCATTGCTTTTCTGTTCATATTAAACAGAACAGAAAAATCTTTTCTGTTCTTGGTCCTTATAATCGTGTCAGAAAAGCACTAAGAACCCGTGGATGGATTGAAAAATTTGATGTCAGCAATGGAGCATTTGGACAAATGACGGCGGATGCAAATAGAACTATACGACCAATAACTTATGTAAAAACTGCACGAAATGCTAATTCATCATCATTAAACAATGCCACGCTAGAAGATTCTGAAGACGGTGATTCAGATGATAATTTAACTGTTGCAAACGAGGGTATGCTCCTTTCATTATTAAATATTTTTTCCAAGAGGGAAGACTGAAATCACTTAAGTGTTTACAAGTCTACTGAAATAACATGAAGTACTTAATAGAGTAAAGCAATCAGATTAGCAAATAGTAACTAAACAATGGCATACTTTTCGTGAAAATGGTTTTCCATCACGAGTTGACATCTATTGGGTGAGGAGTGAAAACCGACGATCATTAGACAGAATTTTTATTGTAGTTTGAAATTCGTTAGTATTGAGCGACTACGGCTCATTGTACTATGAAATTTTGTGAATCTCAGACATTTAAGAATCAGATCCAAATGTTGTCTATTGTACTTATCATTTTGATATTCAGTAGACAGTTAGTTTTAACAGAATAAACAACAGTTAGTTTAGTTAAAATTAGTGGTATGACCAACTACTTGAACTGATTGATCAAATTGAAGAATCTATCTCTGTAATTTGTCCACTTTAAGTATTTGGAAAATGAGTATTATCTTCAGTTAGCAAAATCTGCTCGTATTATCGTATTTTTTTCAAGGAATTTTTAGTAATACATCTCATTTGACGTTGAGCATTATCATACGTTATGCATTTTAACAGACTCATTTGATTGATTTTGTGTGACTGTAAACACCCCAGGGAATATTTGTTCTCTAACATAACTTGGGCTAATTTTGTTTCTGTTTTACTGTGTGTACATCAAATAAGAAAAATGAAAATGAAAAAGTTAATTAATATTTTGTATTTTTAAATATTTACTTCATTATTATTATATAATAACTTTTATAGAAAAACAACGTATGAAACCATGGGAAGAAGAAAATGGTTATTATGGATTGTTGGTGAGTGCAAGTTTGTTTTGATGTTTTAGGAATTTATTGTTTTACACTCAATATCTCATAGATATTTTTAAAGGAGACTCCATTACGATGGGCACATTTAGTATTCTCCTAATAGATCTATCTATAAGTTATGGCATTGTTGTAAGCCCTAGAATACATTTTATTCTGTTTCACAGCCTAATTACTTACTTACTTACTTTCGCCTGTTACCCCTAATGGAGCATAGGCCGCCCACCAGTTTTCTCCAACCCACACTGTCCTGGGCTTCCCTTTCCAGTTCTGTTCAATTTTTGTTCATTCCTCTCATATCTTTCTCTATTCCTCGGCGTAATATGTTCCTTGGCCTTCCTCTTTTCCTTTTGCCTTGAGGGTTCCATGTGGGGGCTTGTCTCGTGACGCAGTTAGGTGCTTTTCGCAGTGTGTGTCCTATCAACCTCCACTGCTTCTTCCTGATTTCCTCCTCCAATGGAATCTGGTTTGTTCTCTCACACAGTACATTGTTGCTGATTGTGTCTGGCCAACGAATCTGAAGTATTTTGTGTAAACAACTGTTAATAAACACTTGTATGATGCCTTTCGTAGTTCTCCAAGTTTCCGCTATATAAGGCAGAACTGTCTTGACATTTGTATCGAAAATCCTGATTTTGGTGTTGATTAATATTTGTTTGGAGTTCTAGATATTTTTCAACTGTAGAAATGCAGCCTCTGCTTTCACAGCCTAATTATTAATTTTAAATAACTACTTGTGTTAATTAAATAACAGTAAATCGATTACAACTTTTAATTATCATTAATAATGATTTTAGTTTTATTCATTATTGTATCCACTTTGTTATAGTAAGAAGTTTTCAGCATCATTTGTTCTGTAGGCTGGTAACATCTATTTAAACTGTTATTATTCAAGAGTTCTGTTTATTAATTTTTTTCTTGAAAAGTCATTATCTTTCATTTATCTTCAGTGTGTAATGTTTGCCATCAGTCCATATGCTACAACCATTTTTTCATCTCCTAGATACTGAATGTACGAATTTCAATGTAGTTTTGTTCTTTAAGTTAAAGTGCAGAAACGTAGGAAAATATGCCAAGAAGTTCAGTTTTTCAGTTTACGATTTCCAGTACTTAGTATCAGGATTGATTATGAGCTTTTCATCATATCGCCTGAGTAGATGTACTTAGGATCCACGATCGTACAGTTCAAAAAAACGTCTAAAACGTCTGAGCAGGTTTCTGGAATTTCCAGTTTATGATTATTTATGAGAGCTTTAATTAGTTGAAGTTCTTTTATTTTAGCTCCTGCTAGAAGATCATCTCAAAAGTTTTATTTGGCTTTAAATCATACACTTTTTAGCTAATAATGAAGATTTTGGATATATATACTTGTTAATATAGTTAACATGATATAGAGTTGTAAACAAGACTATTTATCTTTTTTATCGAATAAAAGAATCAAAACCATTATTGATTATAATTCAACCTAGTAATTAATTACGTCTGCGGACAAGTCTATGGTTTATAATTTTTATGCGATGACTACTGATACTATTCAGTTACCAAAACAAAAAAAGAGAGAATAGAGTTCGATATCATTACCTGATGGTTAAAAGTCGTTTTTTAGCTAATAAATCGATGTTTTAATACTATAAAGTAATGAGTGCAATTTCTGAAAGGTAATTTCTTTTTCACTTACTTACTTACTTACGCCTGTTACCCCTAATGGAGCATAGGCCGCCCACCAGTTTTCTCCAACCAACTCTGTCCTGGGCTTCCCTCTCCAGTTCTTTCCAATGTTTGTTCATTCCTCTCATATCTTTCTCTATTTCTCGGCGTAGTGTGTTCCTTGGCCTTCCTCTTTTCCTTTTGCCTTGAGGGTTCCATGTGAGGGCTTGTCTCGTGACGCAGTTAGGTGCTTTTCGTAGTGTGTGTCCTATACACTTCCACCACTTCTTCCTGATTTCCTCCTCCACTGGAATCTTGTTTGTTCTCTCCCACAGTAGGTTGTTGCTGATGGTGTCTGACCAACGAATACGAAGTATTTTGCTTAGACAACTGTTAATAAACGCTTGTATCTTTTGGATGACGGCGTTGGTAGTTCACCAAGTTTCCGCTCCATACAGTAGAACTGTCTTGATATTTGTATTGAAAATCCTGATTTTGGTGTTGATTAATATTTGTTTTGAGTTCCAGATATTTTTCAACTGTAGAAATGCAGCCCTTGCTTTGCCAATCCGCGCCCTCACATCTGCGTCCGATCCACCTTTCTCGTCGATGATGCTGCCCAGATATGTGAAGGTGTTAACGTCCTCCAAGGTATCACCATCAAGCGTGATTCGGTTGGTGCATGTTGTGTTGCATCGGAGAATTTTGCTTTTTCCTTTATGTATGTTGAGACCTACTGCTGCAGAGGCTGCTGCTACACTGGTCGTCTTCTCTTGCATTTGTTGTTGAGTGTGAGATAGAAGAGCCAGGTCATCTGCGAAGTCCAGATCGTCCAGCTGCGTCCTAACTGTCCAGTTGATACCGTGCTTCCCTCCAGATGTTGACGTCTTCATAATCCAGTCGATGACCAGGAGAAAGAGAAAGGGTGAGAGTAAGCAACCTTGCCTGACACCGGTCTTCACCTCAAAAGAGTCTGTCAGCTGACCTCCGTGCACGATTTTGCAGTTGAATCCATCATAAGAATTCCGTATGATGTTGACTATTTTCTCAGGCACACCGTAGTGTCGAAGAAGCCTCCACAGTGTTTTCCTATCCACGCTATCGAATGGTTTCTCGTAGTCGATGAAGTTGATGTGGAGTGGTGAGTTCCATTCAATTGATTGTTCCACAATGATCCGTAATGTAGCAATTTGGTCAGTACATGATCGATCCTTACGAAATCCGGCATGTTGATCTCGAAGTTGGGCGTCTACGAAGTCCTTCATTCTGTTTAACAATACTCTGTTGAAGACTTTGCCTGGTATTGAAAGAAAAGTGATGCCTCTGTAGTTTTCACACTTGCTGAGATCGCCTTTCTTTGGTATTTTGATCAGATATCCTTCTTTCCAATCTGATGGTACTTGTTCCTCATCCCAAATCTTCTTGAAGAGAATCTGAAATATTTTCGCAGTTGCTTCTACATCTGCTTAGATTGCCTCTGCTGGAATGTTGTCTGGTCCTGCTGCTTTGCCGCTCTTGATTTTTCTGATGGCTATACTGATCTCCTCAATCGTAGGTGCGCCAATATTAATTGGGAGGTCCGTGGATGCTGCTTCGATGTTGGGTGGGTTCAGTGGAGCTGGTCGATTCAATAGTTCCTTAAAGTGCTCCACCCACCTATTTCGCTGTTCTTCAGTGTTGCTGATTATTTTCCCTTCCTTGCTTTTCACTGGTCGTTCTGGTTTACGATAGTTTCTAGCGAACTTCTTTGTTGTTTCGTACAATTGTCTCATGTTTCCTTCTCTTGCAGCCTTTTCCGCCGTCATTGCAAGATCTTCCACATATTTTCGTTTGTCAGCTCTGATGCTCTTCTTCACTTCCCTGTTTGCTTCTGTATACTCGGCTTGCGCCTTAACTTTCTCTGCTCTTGTTCGGCTGACATTCACTGCTGCCTTCTTGTTCCTCCTTTCTTGAATTTTTTCAAGAGTACCAACAGAGATCCATTCTTTGTGATGGTGCTTCTTGCGACCAAGGACCTCATGACATGTTGAAGTGATTGCCTCCTTAATCCCTTTCAAATTGTTCTCCAATGTTGCTTCCTCTCCATTGAGTAGATCCTGAAAGGCCTGGAACCTATTGGTGAGGGCTATCTTGAATTCGTTGAGTTTTACGGTATCCCGAAGAAAGGCCGTATTAAACTTCTGTGATATTGTCTGCCCCGTTGTCCAGTGCTTCTTTAGCTTCAATCTCATTTTGGCGATCAACAAGTGGTGATCTGAAGCTATATCAGCTCCTCTCTTGGTTCTCACATCCTCCATGGTCCTTCTGAACTTTTTGTTGATACAGATATGGTCAATTTGGTTTTGAGTAGTGTGGTCCGGTGAAATCCATGTGGCTTTGTGAATGCGTTTGTGCGGGAATATTGTGCCACCAATGACCAGTTTGTTGAAGGCACATAGGTTTGTAAATCTCTCACCGTTTTCGTTCCTTTCTCCTAGTCCATGTCGTCCCATGATGTCTTCATATCCAGTGTTGTCCATTCCAACCTTGGCATTCAGGTCTCCCATAAGAATCGTCAAATCCTTTGGTGAACATTTATCGACGATTGACTGCAGCCTTTCGTAGAATTGATCTTTAACGTCGTCATTGTAGTCATTGGTAGGTGCATAACATTGGATGACGTTCATTGTAATGTCCTGTTTCTTTGTTTTGAAGGATGCTTTAATGATCCTCGGCCCATGAGATTCCCATCCTATCAGTGCCTTTTGTGCATGTTTGGACAGCATCAGTGCAACTCCTTGTGTATAAGAAGCGTTTTCCCCTTCATGACCAGAGTATAACAGCAGTTCCCCTGAAGCAAGTCTCAGTTGTCCTACTTGTGTCCAATGCGTTTCACTGATTCCAAGCACCTCGAGGTTGTATCGTTTTATTTCTGCCGCAACTTGAAATAGTCTTCCAGTATCCCACAATGTACGAACGTTCCATGTACCTAAAAAAATGGTTGCTCTGGTTGTCAGAAGAGGCATCAGCCCCGTGACTTCCGAGGGAACTCGGCTTTCATCACGAGACGTCATAATTCTTCTTCCAACTCCCAGGGCAGAGTTAAAATGGTTTGAATTATTTTTTCTGGTTAGCGTTTTTTTGGCAAGTTAGATTTCAACGGAATGGGGCCGCCAACCCCATGTCCAACCCTCCTCCTTTATCCGGGCTTGGGACCGGCAGTAGCCCCTAAGGTTCTACTGGCGGAGTTAATTTCTTTTTCAACTAAACATAAATGCTTATTGCACGTATAGAGTTGTGGAGATTGTTCAGTCTCTAGGACCAACCTAAGTTAGACGTTCAGTGAAAACTTAGATGCCATGGACTACTTTTTGTCCTAGTATTGCGCTCCTTGGCAGTCCACATTCAGTGACCATGGAAGCCAGACCATGTCTGGTGTGGGAAAGAAACCATCACATACACTGGAAGATGATCAAGCAATATCATTAATTGATTGAGGTTGGATTTATAAAGAAGTGAATCAAGGATCAGTGATTTAGAGCTCAATAATTTACGCACGAGATCGAAGGTCTACAGTCCGATCCTTGTTGATGATGCTCACTCCCAGTATAAAATCTTCATCCATTGCCTTGCAGTTTCAGCGTTTATATAACTTAGGTTCCTGACTTCAACGATAACTACACATACATTTTTATCTTTGTGATGAAACATGCCAATTTTTTAAATGTTTTGATTATTCTACTGTTTTAGTCACGTATGGTTCGTTCAGAGTTGCCAAGATTTATTTGGTCATTACGTAAAAATCAAGTTGATTTTAATCATCTTCAAAAGGATCAAATCATTAATCATCACAGTGGGGCACCATTTACAACTAAGGTATTTATTTGTTTATTATAATTTGTTACTTTTTATTTATTGTGCTTTAGTATTCAACAACTTTTTGAAAAATTTGATCAATTCATAAGCGGTTATTGTTAATACATTACTAGTTCTACGTGAATTACCTATTCTTAAAATAAGTGAAAAATGCAGGATACTTTTTTATTTAGAGTAATGTTTCTTTTTTTATTTAAATGAATGTAAAATCTTGTAGATAAGCCACTTGTCTGGATGTAAAAATTTATATTCTATTCGGAATAATAAAAATTATACAATTAAATAAAAGAAATTAAATCTCCTGGATGCGTTTCAAAATTATTGACAATTGAACCATACTGAATAGCGATTTGAATTTTGCAACAAAAAAAGAGGGAAAAACAATTGTACAAAATAGTCATGATAAAAATAATGAGATTTCTGTCACACCAAACTTTTCTCTGTTGAAAGAAATTATTAAAAATTAATACTTTTGAACAAATAATTTCGCACTGTTTTATCGAATTTTTTTTCGTGATGGTTTTCGACATTGGTGACTATGACTACTGATAAAATACAGCAATAAAAAAATTTGTTTCAAATAAAATATGCACTTATTCAATTATTGTTCAAATCTCAATATTAGCCATTAGCTAAGGACTTTGATTTATTATGAAAATGTTCTTTAAATGAATTTTCGTTGAATTTTTCAATGGACAGTGAAAGTACTTATTTGATTAACTTATGAAATGGATATCTTAAAATACGAACAGCAGAAAGTCACAAACTACAGACTCAAAGTTATTAAGTTCATAACTCATTTGCTTAAGTGTGTTACTTGGGATCTCGTTTCTATCCACTGAAATATAATCATTCATTATTCAGTGTTATCTAAGAATATAATAATAATAATATTAATAATAATAATAATAATTATTATTATTATTATAAAAGGTTTAATTCAATATTATGTATTTAGTACAATGTGGAATTCTCAGTAAAATTTACAAATCACTTTTATAAAACAATCAGCTATTGGCAGTTAGTTGGGAGAAAACAAGTTCGCGAATTGACATCTTATAAACGTTCACTCTTTTCTCAGCAAATAGCCACCCACCGGAATATCTCGGATTGCACTTTTTTATACCTTGTGAAGCGATAGCCCGTAAACTTTCTAAATACGCGCCTGAGTGGACTATGCAATTAATAGACATAATTGATGTGTTAAAGCAAACCGACAGAGGTAACTTTATAAATATTTTGATGTTGGGAAAAAGGTAGCCAATCACTCAAGCAGGTGGCCTATATTTTCAGTTGAAAAGAAAATTCCTAATTAATTAAACAGACTCTTAAAGCAAGCAGTGGAATAATCTGGTTCACTGTGAGACGACTATTCGTGGATATAGGCTTATGTATCACAAGTAGTTTTTTAATCAGAATATGTTGGATATAGAATTTTAAAGTAGAGATCCAAGAAGAACCACATAGCTATTCTCTCTAATCATGCGAACATTTATATATGATGATCAAAAAGCCTTATTAACTAAATAAATTCGGAAATGTGAATAATTGCATTCGGAATAAGGGATTGAACTATATGCCAATTGTTTTGAAACTTGAATAGTCTCTATCAAACCATAGATGATAACATAGATTTGTACTAATAATTGGTCTATTTTAGGACCAGTTGGCAGTCTAGTGCAGTCAAGTAACTTTTCATTTGGTGTTAGTTCATTGTAGAAAACTACATTTAAATTTGAAAAATTTCCACAAAATCATGTCAAGTACCTGTGATATTCTCAATCTTTGTGCTATGAAGATTTATTCATGAACAAACTTTCTTATTTCTGCATTTTTCAAAGGGATTTGTGAAACGTACACTCTGAATTAGAAAAGTAGGCATCGAGTAATTTAAGATTATGTGTGGATTTAGGGTAAGAAATGCTTTGACTCAACCAATGTTCTTCAGTTTAACTTAAGAACAAGAGGGATTGTTGTAATTAAGATTACATATTAATGCTTATTACTAATAAAATTATTGTTTCGCATTAATAGACTTCTTGGAATCTTACTTTCATTTGATTAGCTAAGTATGTAACATATTCCATAGTATCTTTTAAATAATAGTTAACATCCAGGTCTGATTTTAGTCATGTCACCATTAAAAGCTATTATGTAACTCCTCACCAATGCACATCCATGACGCTGCCAACGAGAACTGAACAAAGGACCTTCTATCATAGACTCGTGCGATTGCCCTTTGAGCATCTGAGCCAACATTTAATATTTCTTAGTTTTCAATAGTTATTGTCATTATTCGTAAAATTCAGAAATTTGCATAAATCCTTTATAATTAGTTATATTTTAATTCATATCGTTTTATTACATAATGCCTCATATAACTTAGGTTGGATTATGTAAACAACTGCGTCAAATACGATGGTTTGCTGATTGTGACGCTGATTACTTTTTTCCACGTTGCTTTATTATCAGTGAAGAAGACGATCGTTTATCATTTATAAGTAAGTTTTATGATTATTATTAAATATCATTTTATCGAAAATTATGATTCATAATATATATTTCTAATGAGAGTTAATGATAACTGTTAGGTTCGTCACTGGGTATGCTTGAACTATTACGGGTTCACCTTAGTCGATAAACGCGAACCAGACAATGAACCAGTGTCCTGGTAGGCTACCTTGATCCGAAACGGCTAAAGAGAAGTCTTAGTATGGCGTAGAAAGTATATTCTACAAACACCCAGCAAGCACAAGGTAATCAAGCACACAAATTTCGTTTATTTATACATCATAGAAACATCCTTGGTACAGTTACGAAAATAGCACACTAAGATACACAGCAGCCAATCACAGCCAAGGAATTTCCTGGTGGGAAATGAAACCTCATGGTTAACTGATTAGCCCATGCTCGCAAACGTGTAATCCAAAATAAGGCATTTATCAAGTGAGTTCAGGGGATCTAACGTCCCCAACAATAACATATCAGTAATATGTCTTTGAAAATAATTATGCTTTTAGAAGTTCGTTTTTCTAGTCTCTAAGTATAATTTTTTTAGTTCGTAAAAAGCTTACGTTATAACTTTATAAAATGTTATTGAGATGTTAAAATGGTACATTTGTGTATTTTTTATATTGTTTAAATAATGAGAATTGCTTTAGTTTCTAAATTGAATGTAATTAAAAATATCAAATCCTACATTTAAACTCAGTAATCACAATAATAATATCTTCTGTTTTAAAACACAGATTGTGTAGCACAATGTAATATATACAGCCAACTAATAGAAAGAAAAGAAAACATTCCATGATTTTAGTATACACCATCATTGGGAAAATATAGAAAGAGAATAAAATCTATACAAGTTTAATATTCATCATAGTGTTATGAAGATTGTAGTTTTCTATTTAAATCATGAAGCAATCATCGTCGGACCATCATTAGGAACCCTGGGATCATTGGACGGCCATTTTGTCCAATTATGGGACTCTTAAAAAGTGCGCATCCACGACTCCCGCTCTCGAGAATCGAATCCTGGACCGTCGGTCTTGAGCGCGAACGCCTAACCTCAAGACCACTGAGCTGGCATCCTTCGGTGTTACTTACTGTCTAACTTTGTTTGATTTAAGGATTTCGTACTACCTCACCCAAGTTTAAGAATAATTAAGTTTTATCGCAATATATACGTATATAATACTGTACTTTACGTCTGTTTACATGATTTACAATGTAGGAGTACGGTTATGCTCAGTGGTTAAAAAATGAAGTTTTAACTGTATTAACATCAATAATCTTTTTAACCACTTGTCTGTTTGGAAAAGAGTGCTGATTTTCACCCCAAACGCGCAATTATTCATCTTCATTGTAAAAAGATGGATTACTGATTTTTATTTTCATCAATAATTCATCAACTATCATATGCTTGTATAAATTTTCTTTTTTTGTTTAGATGATTTTAGATTAACCGCATGTATATCGATTGTAAAAATGATTGCCAATTTAAATCCGGCTACGACAAATCTACCAGATTCATTGATGGCAGTTCCATCCAATTCTAGCAATATATATGAAACAAATAATGTAGGCGAAATTATTGAAGATATAAATGTGACACATAATTCAAATAGTGTAGCGATGAAGAACCATTCTTCAATTGATGATAATTTATCAAGAGATGATTTCTTATCATTTTTAAACAATACGATATTCCATAAAAAAGAATGGAATATAAGTAAGTTTACTAACTTTTTAAAAGTTTCTTAGATGATTTTTTTATTAGCGAAGCACTGTTATGAAGTTTTTTTTAAATAAATTACTTCAATTTTCTATCGTTAATTTCTTTTTGGGTTAAAATTAGTTTACAGTTTATACAGTAGATATCAGATTTTATTTTAAATATAGCTCTATATTTATTCCCATTATTGTAATAAGATGATTGTTTGTATATGTTCAGTTTTCAGACTGACTAACTTAACATTCATATCAGTGTAAGAAATTTGATTTATTTACCGGTAGAATACCTACTAAGGTATCAGTTAATCAGTTTTTTCGATCTATTGAATAGTTGCAATAAAATATCTTACTCTTTAAACAAATCAAATATGTATACATATAGATTAGAAATATGTCAAAATGTTCCTGATGTTAATAAAACTAGTTACTTTTTCTTGCCTAACATGGTACAATGTAGGTGAGATCAGTTATATCAACAAAAAGCGCTATTAAATTCCATTTACTGGGTTGCTCATATTTACATAGATGATGAACAGATTTCACTTTTCCTGTATTTTCGGATGTTGAACTTCAGAGAGAATGTATAAATATTGTTAATCAAGTCAGTTCGTTTTTTCCGGGCCGAGAAAACAAATACGCAAAAGCAATTTCCCATTGTTCACTAAGAAAAAGAAAGGCTACTAAGATTATCGTCATCTCCTAACTCTCTGATTATACAAATAGAAATGGTGTATAGTTGAATTAATGGTTGTCATTCAAAAGTTGCGTCATTAAAAAAACTGATTTCTTAAACAAACTCACTTGTTCATTAAAATGTATTGTTAGTTTATTTATCAGAATACAGATTTCCTGTGTTATTTCTCTGAAATTCAAAATGTTAAACTCTCTAGAAAGTGTACAATTTGACTAATATTGTAAAGGAAAAATGACATCAACTGTACTGTATTTCAAAGGTGGATAGATTTGTGTTTTTAAATCATTAGACCACTTGTTGAGATCTTTTTTTCTAAAGAAAGATAAACTTATCAGATATTTTGATTCTAACCCATGTCACTTGTAGCATGATGTAATAATAATAATAATAATAATAATAATAATAATAATAATAATAATAATTACGCCTGTTACCCCCAATGGAGCATAGGCCGCCCACCAGTTTTCTCCAGCCAACTCTGTCCTGGGTTTCCCTTTCCAGTTCTGTCCGATACTTGTTCATTCCTCTCATATCTTTCTATATTTCTCGGCGTAATGTGTTCCTTGGCCTTCCTCTTTTCCTTTTGTCTTGAGGGTTTCATGTGAGCGCTTTTCTTGTGACGCAGTTAGGTGCTTTTCGTAATGTGTGTCCTATCCACTTCCACCGCTTCTTCCTGATGTATATTATCCAATAACAAATAAAATCTAACTTTCGAACGATGAGTTGTCACGGTAAGTTGCTTATTTAGACACATTATTCATAGTCCCATTTCTAACTTATTATGATCATTCATTCCTAGTTAACATTATCCAATGTACCCTTTTATGTAAATTATCAAGTAACTTGGTAAACCTGTAAAATTGAGCTTATTTACTTTTCTTCTTTTTTTTCTGCTTCATTCAGATTTAGCACCAAGTGATTTATCGAATAATTTTGAAATTCCCCATGAAATAATAGAATTTTCAATTTTTCAATGTCAAGAATTTCTTAAGACCAAGTATCATGATGATCTTGACAATTCAAGTAAAGTATGTTGAATGTTTCTTTGAAAAAAAAAACCATAATTATTATACGCATACAAAAATGCACATGATGATGTCTCATACAGAATTATCTTGACTAAAATGACATAACAATCACATAATCAGACCTATTTTGATTTTGACTGAACCAAATATTCTATTTTGTTCCTTAATACTATTTAAACCTGTGTTGCTGTATGATTCGTTTATTTACTCTAAAGAAGTAACGAATTCATGAAATGTCACAGAAATGTCTCAAATGTCTACTAATTAGCCTATCACAGATAGATATATCATTATTAATTATGATTAATATTATTGATTCATTCTCGTTTCTAAATCAAATTGTTTGGTATGTGTTGGGATAGTCAATCGAGAAGAAAGCCACGCATATTGTGGATTGATGAACTATTTGATTAATGTTCATGATAAACTATTTCATTAATGATGAACTATATGATTATTGTTCATGATGAACTATTTGATTCATGTTCAAAATATTTAAACGACATTTATATAATTGTATAAACACGCATGTTTGATTGTATATTTTTGATTCTTACTCGGCTGCAGATGTCGTTGATGGAATGGTCTGTTAATTTTAATGCATCTATGAGATCCAACCCTAATAAATCAAGGTCTGGGTTCTTAGTTAAGTATACAGTTGCACTCGTTGTTGCCTCATCTTTTGAAACAGTGCACAATATTTCTCCAACAATATTTAACTTACCACCAGATGCGCTGTGTGCTAGTTGCTTCGTTTGGTGAACTGTAGGTCTTCCAATTTTCTCCCAAGTTTTTGGACTGATAAGAGTGATATCAGATGCTGTGTCAAGTTGAAGACGGATACGGTGTGAATTCATATCCACAGTCACATACTTTCTTCTTTGGTGAATTCTTGTCTGATTATGAGACACCAATACTTTGTTTATTGGCTTACCAGAACTGTATTTCTTGGAATCGACTTTCGCGGAGTTATGTCTGCGAGTTTTTGTCCTACATCGAGATTCTTTGTGACCCTTTTTGTGACATTTAATGCAAACATAATCTTTGTATGGACAAAACTCCTTGTAGTGCCAACCTCCACATGACCAGCATGGAGATGAGGGCTGCTTGTCTGTGCTCTTATGATTATTGTTCATGATCAACTATTTGATTCATGTTCAAAATAATTAACGAAATTTATATAATTGGATAAATACGCATGTTTGATTGTATATTTTTGATTCTGACAAAAAGCGTTCTCCAACGTCTTCCGTCTTCTTATTTTTGAACGGAGGGGTCTAATGTTCGGGTGTCATTAGTACAGTGGTTTGGCGTTACATCAAGTACAAAACATAAAAGTATGATATATTCAGATCAAAAAATATGTTACTGTATTTCTCTTTCAAAGTAATATTTCTCTAATATGATTTGATCTGTATAGTATATGGCCATAGAATCCAATTTTTCATTTCAGTTATTTATCTTTGTACTTCTATATGCGTAGTGCATTTGAACGAATTTATTCTCGATTATTAAAATATTTTGTAAATTTCTTTTTATGTCGTTTATCATGATCAGCTAAAGTATTGTTCATCACTACGGAATTACTAAAACACTGTTTAATCTCATTTTAACAGTTATTAACACTAGTATACCTAACATCTCACACAGGACTAAAGAGAAATTATTGAAATATCTAAAAGTCACCAAAGATTTTAAAATCATGCAATAATTTAAATCACTATTCATTTTATGAAACTAATTATTGATATGTTTATATATATTGTTTGATCAAATCAAATTCAATTATTCTATTTAAAAAATCATGCGGAGTAATTTTGTTTGATTTGAAACTATACTTTTTTTGAATACAACATTAATTTTTGAATTGAAAAACAATAATTACTAATTCATGAATAAATGTTCAAGGTCAAAAGTGATCAATCTTTTTGATTTGTTTAATATGTTGTTTTAAAAAGTTACTTATCATCATCATCATCATCCAATGAAACTAAAAATATCTATGTATTTATTATAATTCTCTCTTATCTCTACAATATTTTATTATTATTATTATTATTGTTACAGAATTATGACTTTTAAAAGGTATTTAAACTACAAGGTGGATAAAAGTTCACGAATTAAATTTCTACTAGATTATATAGTTCACCCTGGTACAAGTATGCGAACCATTGAGGTCGCCCACTAAAACGATAGGTTATCTTCTATAGACGTTATGTGTAGAGAAAGGACTAAGTCAGGAGTGATCTTACTTACTTATTTACGCCTGTTACCCTTAATGAAGCGTAGGCCATCAACCAGCGAATTCTTTTCTTGGTTAGCTTTTTTTAGAGAATTGGATTTCCAAGGGATGGGTTCGCCAACACCATATTGAACCCCCCTCCTTTATCCGGGTTTGGGACCAGCAGTAACCCTAGAAGGGCTCTAGGTGGAGTTCAAAAATCCTGTTCTTCTGCCCAGGGGTTTTGTTTCTGATATCAGTTCATTTAGGAGTTTGGGCCTCGAAAGCAACAGTTATTAAATTACATAGTGCTATTCCTTATCATCCATCAGTTTGGCAAATACAAACCTCTTTCATTCACCAAATTGAATAAACCCACAATAATTAAGATTGATATTTTATTAAAATAGGATTAAATCTACTTCATCTTGACTAGATACATAGTCCACTTGCTTCTCTCCTCCCGTGTGAGTTAAAAATAGTATTTTATTATAAATGGCGTCTCCAAAAAATGAAACCATTATTCAGTGTCACAGATGTGCATTCTTTTTATTGAAATAACTAATAAATAGTGGTCTGCTGGAAAGAAATAGTTATTGAACATAACATTAATCAACAGATTTAATATTATCCACTAATATGCTAAAACTATTTCTCTGAATATACGTGCGAAAATTTTATTTTACAGTTAGTATTATACAATTTGTGTATAAAGCCTTGTTGCCATAGTGAAAACACATACAATCAAGATTGAATCTTGTTTTTTTTAACTAGAACTTGTTTCTATTGTCACTGATTTATAGGACCGCAGTGTTTGGTACTTTAGTTGTTTTGTCAACTGATAAGTTGAAAATTATGCGAAAAGCTTACGTTTAGAAAACGTCTTTATCAATTTTTTTTCATATAAAGTGTTTGATAGGCTATGGGTGCTCTGAACGTTGCATAGTTTGATTATATTAGTTCTTAAGTGCTCATTCAGAGTAACTGATTGCTTAAATGATAAAGTTTATATTAAATCAAATGAAATGGGCTAAAAATGGCATATACCTCTTAAATTAAGATCAGATATAATGATACCTAGAATTAATAAATACTGATATTCCCACTAAACGCTTGAATCACATTTTTAGGTTAAACCCCTGCACTATTGTTTCAAGGGGTTTTGAATTGGAAAGCATAAATTTTTCTTGACAATAAGTACTATACTTCACCTTTTGTTAGCGTGTAATATAAATGTAGTTACTGGTGTTTGATTGATCATGTCTTGTGGGATTTCGAAATTTCGAATACAAGAGTTAATAAAGTGATTAATCAGTAAATCTATGGAGACACTTTTAAATAGCATGTAAATTTACTTACCAATCAACTCATGATTATTGAGTTCATAATTTGATCCCTTATCCCATGGTAGTATACAACTACTAATCTCTTGGATAATTAAAGTATCATACATTGGGATATCTACTTTTACAACTCGAATAGTTGGCTAAAGAACCGACTGTTCGCTGGTTATTAGTTTAAATCTAATTAGAATTTGAGGTTACGAATATTTGTTGCTTTTGCATTCTTGAAAAAAATTCTCTGATCAAATCTAATCTAATTGGCTTACCTAACAAGTCATCTGATGAGAATAATAATTTAGTTTTGTATCATTTAAGATTTCAACGAAATGTTTCTTCAACGCAGCTGATTTTGTTGAAAGCAAATATTTTTCTAATAATGATTTCTTTTCACATCCGTGCAAAAAGATATCATAACTAAAGTGTAATACGAAAGTTGGTTTATCAATAGTTTTATTCTAAGACATCAGTTATTATTTCATTCGCTAAAGTTCAACAAGACAGTGATGAGAAGATTACAGAAAAGAATTGTGCTTATTTCATAGCATAACATTTCGTCAATTTCAAATAGTTTGAAATCACATTAGCGATTGAGTGGAGTAGATAGAATTAGTGTGATATAAATCAATTACAAAAAGACATTAGGCTTCAGCTGTCATTAAAGATAGTAATTCAGAAAGATTTAGTATATATTAATATATGTCATTTTAAAAAAATTATTGCTCATTACTGAATTACGTAACACCTATTATCCAATTAAGATATCAGACTACAAAATAATTTCGTTTTTAAATTAACACAATCAATTAAAAAAGATGGTTACTGATGATGAAAGTATCTGTGCTTATCATTATTAAACTGTTGAAAATACTCCCCTCATATTAAAACACTGGTACATGAATGAAAAACATTCTTTTCATTTTCACATGATTTTGAGATGGTGGAGAAAATTTGTAACTCAGATGGATGATTGTGATGGTGTTTCGTTCTCTGAGCTGGATGTTTTGGTTGGGATGGTGAATAGCGGAAGATATATGGTACAGTCGAGGTTAACAGAACAAGCTACGTGTTCAACATGGAGAAATTGGAATACTACACTTCTATCTGAAGTTTGTGCTGATGAAGTTGTTCAGAAAAACAATTCAAACTCCACAACCAAAACATCCAGCTCAGAGAACGGAACACCAACACACTTCTTTTCAATAAATCTTCTTTTTATTTATACCACAATTAGATATCCATAATCAGAATATGAAAAGTGACCAAATTTAACACATATACACAGATTAAAATTATAACATGTAAATTTACGATTGTTTGTAATATATAAATCGTTAATGTTGAAATGAAGAATAATATGAAGTGTTCGCTCAAATTGATGATTTCAAAAACACTAATCTCTTTAACTCTAATTGAAAATAAATCAATTCATATGTTAAAATAAAATTGTTTGATTAATAATCAAAATAAATGTAGATAACGTTATGTTATAATTTTTTTTATTGATTAATTTTAAAGAGTACCTCTCTAGAAGCTGTAGAACAAAATGTTCTGACAAGAATATAGTTTTTTTTCACATGATCAGTTTAATTTTTACACTGTAAATATGGCAGTAATATTTATTAACACACCATTAAAAACTAAACTGATTGAATGAAACAAATTGTATCAATCTAAAATATTTCACTTGAAATAACATACATTCACTTAACCGATATACAGTTAAACACATTTTTTTCACAAATATGATATCAATGAAGCAGATTTGATGAATTTAGCTTTTTCATGTTACAAATTTGATTCACTCGAATTCAGTACACATTAATTGACAAAATATAATTTGTTCTCTTCGACAAAAAATTCACTTCATTTTCTTGAATTATTTTACAATAAACTATATATGCGTTATTTATCTGTTTGCATTTTTTCAGCATTTTCTTACTTCTGAATATCTTTGGGATAAATTTTTATCATGGTATTATCAGATAATAAAGTGAGTGACAGTTTATTTATTTTTTTTCTAATAAATACAATTAAATTATTTACTAATCTGCAAGTATTTCAAGTGTAGCATTTTTTTTCATAGATCACAAATTTTTGTTATGTATAAAAATATAACAATTTTATATAGCTGAACAAAATTTCCTGGTAAAGCAGATTAATCATAATTGTGATTTTCTGAGATCATTGATTTCATTGACCAGTTAAAAAAATAATTCATTTCATGGCTAATCACTATAATTGAAGATATTCTTGCCTTGAAAGATTATTATTTCATATTTCAACTCCATTAGGTTAGTGACTATTGTTAGAATTGAAACAAAAAAATGATTTAGCTTGATTCAAGTCAGAAGACAGTCATTGAATGAAAGCATATGAAGATTTATTTCATAATTGAAACATTAGATTTAAAATACTGTCTTAATACATTTGTTTATATTCATTCAGCTTTGCTTTACATAACTTATTAGTGAAATTTATATCATCATAATTGATATGTACCAAAAACTATGAGAATATCATCGAATGTAATACCTGAAAGAATGTCTCAAGTTCCATTCCTTGTCAAGGTTGATGATTACATCATGCAGATGGGAAGTCTCAAAATGTTCATTTATGATCGTACACTAAAAGTCAAACTTAAATTTTCTCAAGTTCATTGACAAACTAAACAAAATCTATGCACGATTAATTCCGTAAATAAACAAATAAATGAATAGGGTAATGGAGATTATGAGTTACTTTGAAATAATGAGCTGATCAATGTTAGACCACCATTAGAAACCTGGAAGCAATGGACGGCCGTTTCGTCTTGGTATGGGACTCACCAGCAGCGCCTACCTACGACTCCTGCTACTCGCCGGATTAGAACCTGGGATCCTCGGTCTGGCTGATGAGTCCCATACCTGGAAGAAACGGCCGTCCATTGCCTCCAGGTTTTAATGATGGTCTAACATCGATCGATTCATGATTTAAAAACAAATAAATGCATAAATATTTCAAATGATTAACAACTAAATTAAAATAAACATGTTGTTGAATGTTTCTTGTTAAAATAACTGTACAAATTTTATTAACATAAATAAAAATTCCTTTTTCAATCATTCGTATTTCTGATTTGTTAAACGATGAAAAATTCAGAAAATCGAAATTATGTATTATTTTACCAATAACTAATAATATCAACAAAACTGTGTAATTTGATTTCTTCATTTTTTTCTAATTTTTAATTTATCTGAGTTGTCTCAAATAATTCAAACCTAGGAAATGAATACAGCATTCATCAATTGTAAAACATGTACACTTAGTTTCTTACTTCATAAATTGCGGTAACAAACTTTTTACCAAAGAAAAAATATTCATTTTTGCTTAGATTTTTTTTCTCATGATATCTGCAACAACTGCAATGGTAGGCGACTAGTCGATAACAAAATAAAATAAAGCTTAAATCTTTTTTTTTTAAAAATTGCAACATAAAACCTAGTGGATATTTAGAAGGATATGTCAATTCTATGCATATTTATGCTTACTGGCAATCACTTGTAAGAACAGTTGGTATAAAATCAATAATTTCTGTTATTTTAACTTAAAAGTAGCTGTACGCTATGTTCATAATCACATAGGAAAGTTCGTCAACGGTTTTAGCGGTATGCATCTTTTTTATTATTAGGAGATGATGTAGACTTCGGTTGTTATTCTTCATAATAGTGTTAATTAATCCAAGAGTAATTTATATTTTGTTCAAATAATTTTAGAATGCCTCATTTACTTGTGACAGCAAAACATTTCTCATCTCATTGTCAATATCTTTGTAAATTACTTAAAAAATACTGTCCACAATTTGATATGGATGGAGTGCGTAATGTTTGGATTGTAAAACCTGGCGCCAAATCAAGAGGACGAGGTGAGTTCGTGTTGTTGTCTTTTATTTATCTGTTTCTGGTTAAATTGTTTTTGTTCCTTAATTGGTGTACAAGTGAAAGTTCTTCACTTGTTCGTTACACATAACAGTAATATTAAGTGGATGATTTATCTTTTGCAAAAAATGTGTTTAAAATCAAGAAAATCTGGCATTCCTAACTGGAAGACGATAGAGTACAGTTTCAAATACATCTAAGTATATGGTTTACAGAGACCTCGGAAAATACGTAACAAAACTGTTTACTAAAAGATATGATAAGTAGCAAAAGAAAGTCATAGGTCAATCAAAGTGTAGAATACTGATCCAAGACTTGGTGAGATTTTGTCTCAGAGACCGTGAACCAAAAGGCGGGGTTTTCAAAATTTTTTAAAGTGTCTTACTTAAATAGTCGAGAGGTGTATCCTATATGAGATGAGTGTTGCTTACATGACGTTTATGATTATATTTACAAACTGAGTTTTATTACATTTAAACTAATTTTTTCTTTGAACTATGTTGTGCACTGCTGATGTGACTCATACCAGAGTGAAATAGCTCTCCAGTGCTGTCAGGTTTACAGTGGTGGTCTAACATTAATTAAAATGAAACTTGATAATCTCTACAACTCTAGAATGTAAATTATGATGGGCTACGCAAGTATCGCATATTTAAGTAGTACACATTCAAAGTTAATATAATTTTTTTGTATTTCGTCGGCCTCATATAATATTATGTTACAGAATGTATGTAAATAATTTTGTACAACGTTGAAATTTTGTCATTTATTCATAGAAAATACCCATTATTATGTAGTTTGTACTAAATTCATCTGACATCTGCAAATCCATTGTCCAATTAATCAACCATTTATCCGATCACATTGTAAAACACTAGATATCGTTAAAGTTGAATATTTATTGATTTTCACTTGCCTTTCATATTTTCCCAAAATGGTTGCCTTATACTTTAGATAAATTAGTAAAGAGGGATTTATGCATGATTACTTATAACCTCAAATTAACTATTTTAGACTAGAATTTATTTCCTACATTCCTTTCAGGTATCATTTGTCATAATCGATTAGATGATATTTTAAAAATTGTCCAAGGCAGTGTATTCATTGCTGAAGCACGTTATGTTGTACAGAAATATATTGAAAGACCATTATTAATATATAAAACAAAATTTGATATAAGACAATGGTTTCTTGTTACTGATTGGGCACCATTAACTGTATGGTGGTATCAAGATTGTTATTTAAGATTTTGTTCACAAGAATTCACTTTGAATGATTTCAGTGAGTAAGTTTAAATAATTTTAAAAATAATAATTTTAATATTTATAAATCTTCTTTATTCTTATTGAAATAGTGAATTATGTCAATCAAGGAGAAAAACAATGCATAACTTAGTGTTTTATAAAGAAGCTTAGGGTTATTTTCATAAACCAGAACATAGTGAATGTAGTTATAACTTTATATCTTACATTACAATATAAGGACAATTTTTTAAAGATGTTTCTTAAAACAATAACTGTACATCAATTGTTAATTGAAATAATTCTATTCGCTTTCACCTGTTTTGGTTACATGTTAGAATATTATTTTTATCCCAAGTTATTTTCGGTAGATAAGTGACTAAGTATCGATAGCTCTGATACAAAACAATCCTATTCATAATCGAGTACATGAATTGCCTATCTGTTCTGTTTGTTTGTTTGATTTCTTTCTTTCTTTTCCCATGAAAAGATCAATACATCTTTGTAATAATTGTATACAACATAAATATAAAAATGGATCTAGATCCTTTAAATTACCAGATGAGAATATGTGGACTTGGGAACAGTTTCAAACATGGCTAACGTAAGTTGTAGACGAAATAGTGTTATTAAAGTTTCATTTTTTTGTATGATAGAGAAGACTACTAGTTTATAAGAATGGTTTTTTTTTTGATAAAATTGCTTTCTCTGAACTGAATAGTTTAATTGTAAAACTCTTAATGCCCATTCACAGTTGGTAAAACAACTTGTTAGTTATTTAGGAAAAGAAAATTCAAATAGCTTATTTCTAGCTGACTTGTTGTGCGAATGATAAGGTCTAGGATATAGACAATGAAAGCCTTATGTGATGATATCACTGAGCTCTCAAAGAACTTCACTAAAGAATTCAAATCGGACACAGGTTGATGAACAAAATATAAATTATGTGTATTATTCTGCACATTTTATGTTTCAGTGCTTTATCTCAGTTCTTTATCTCTCCTAGATGGTTTAATTGTAGAGTTTTCATTGAGTCTATTTCATTCAGGGGGTGAATATGTTGTTCGAAATGACAAATGAAAACTCTGCAATAAACCATTTAGCTCAGAGGACTCAACACTACTATATCAGAGCTACAAATTCTTTTTCTTCATGTTAATAGTTCTTTTTTCACTTAACACTTCATGATTATACTAAAAATACAGTGAAGAAGGTCATCCAAATTTATGGAACGAAAAAATTCTACCAGCAATGAAAAATGCAGTTCTAAGTACATTATTATCTTCGCAAGAATCAATCGAGCCTAGAAAAGTAAGTAGCTAATCAGTGGTAGTTTTATTTAACGTCTAAACATTATGATTTATATTCGTCTTACACTGAATAATAACCGTAAAAAATCAAAAATGAGCAAATGGTCGTTTTAAACTATTTTCACGATCATTACCAGTATGTGATTGTATTTCTGGTTAGTTTTGAACCTAAACACCTCACGTTATCTAGAGTATACATCATTAATATTAAACTAGACGGTTGGAGTATTCAATAATGTCTGAGTTTACTACTCACTTCATTGTACAATATTATTTGTTAATAAAGGCAGGCTGGAAATTGTTACCAAGCGATCATCTTAAAATATGATTTCAGTCCCTTGAACTGTATGACAATACTGAGATGAGAACTTGGTCAAAATGATTCTGAAGCACTTAAAGTTCGAATTCTACAATAACTAATTATCGTGTTAAGATTTTTCAAACATATAATCCTTGGATATGATTTGTTTTCTTGTACTAATGTTTCTATCAATTTTACTTCCTTGGTTATTTTAACCAATTTTATTAATACTTATCACATAGAGTTCCTTTTTTCAACGAATCATTATAAAGTTTCTGATAATCAGCTATGTGTATAGATTTCTATCAAAAGTGGAGCTGAATGGTATCTGGCAATGGAATTTAGAACACGCATTTCGTCCCTCCTGGCGCTCATAGGCTGTTAGACTGCGGGCACATCTAACTGACCAGCCTCAAATAAGATGAAACGAGCTTCATCAATTCCATCGCTGTTCACCATCTGTTTCTGATTATAATGCTTATGGTCGAACGTCAGCATCGAGGCAATCCACACAGGGTGTACTTATGCCAAAAGGAATGGTGTTACGCTCGTCTCTAGGTATACTTAAACTATTACGAGTTCACCTTAGTCGATAAACGCGAACGAGACAATGAACCACAGCGTCCAGGTAGGCTACCTTGATCCCCAAACTGCAAAAGAGAAATCTTCATAAGCGTAGAAAGTGTATGCTACAAACACCCAGCCAGCACACCATGAATCCAAGCAATCAAATTGTGTTTATTCATACTCTATAGAGACCTTTTTGAGACAGTCACAAAAATAGCACACTAAAATAACACAGTAACCAATCACAGCCAAGGATTTTCCTGATGGGAAATATGACCTCAAGGTCAACTGATCGGTCCATGCAATAAATCCAAGATAAAGATATTTATGAAGCGAGTTCTAGGGATCTAACATCCCTAAAAAATGGTCACTTGTTGCCCTAACTATCAACGAAAGGATTCAAACTACCAATACAAATGAAATTTCGATTAAGTTTTAAAAAAATCAAAACTATTTATCAAAATATGGAATAATCTTATTCTAGTCTATCAATGAATATTTTTCAAATAATTGATTGTTCAATAATACTGATTAATTTAAACGATTATCATCTAGGGGAATCTTTGAAAATCGAAAAGCAACCAATAGTTAGTTGTTAGGATTGCACTTTTGGAATCCTCCAGGCCATTTGCCTATAAATTTTAGGTATTATGTAGTAGCGCACTTAATACCCCTTAGCTCATTTGTAATCAAATTTAGTTGGTTATAAATCAATCAGTTTAGAAGACAGTTTTTCATTATTATGGTTCATTTTTATTTATATGTTAACTTTTCACAAAAGAATTTTCTAGTATATTTTAGATTTCATATTGTTTCAGATTGTGTTTAAATAATCATTTTTGTTTTAAACAAACGTCATAATTAATGAACTCATAAGGTCATTTTATACGAGTTAATTAATGTTTATATTTATGTTTCTTTCAATATTCACTACTTATTATGATGATTAACTAATAATAAATAAACAAGTCAATAAATAAAATAAATGTTATTTATTGAATTTATTTGTTATTTTTTAACTTATTTTTTTTGAATAAAATTAAAGTACAAAAGAAAATTGTTTAATGTTTAAATGTACATCATTAATTTAATATATTATTACTATAGTAACGCTAAAAGTTAGTTAATTTGAGTAAAATTTAAAATTATTCATATATTATAATTAATATTTTGAATTTATCTTTTAAAGAATTTTATTGAAACAAATTTTCAAAGTACAACTCAATGGATTTTGATCACAAAAAAACTTTCCCATTTTATAAGCTTTCATATTATATTTTGTTTAGCTGAATTATAGTATATGTAATGTAGTTTCTAGGTAACAATCTCTTTTCATATTTTTTCAAAAATTAATCAATGAAAGATAATAATTGTTAATACATAATAAGTTCATTTCTTTTATCTCGTTTGTTTCCTATGAACCAATAAAAAAATTAGCACATGATCTAATTCTTTAGAATAATGTAATTGAATGTGAATAATTTAGGTTGGGTGTTGACAAAACTTCCGGCTATTTTTATGCGTAATAATGATGATGATGATGATGATTTCGGCAGCATTCATTAGAAGTGATGCGTGTTGACATAGATCAAGTTAGCTGACGTATTTATGCTATGAATTCATCCGATACTACTAGCCTGCCAAATGTTATTGAAATCTTCAAGAAATATAAAGCAGCTAACATGCCTATGCACATTCTTCTTCATACGGATGAAGACTGATGACGATATTGTAGCGGAAAATGTTTGTGATTTTTAATTTTTTTTAACTGTTTGTTTTCAACTCGTGAGTAACTTTTAACAACTAAATGATCTTCTTTATAGTCAAAATGTTTCTTTGTAGCACGTTTCACATATCTATACTCAATTTTATTTACAATTATTCTACTTAGTCAATACTTCTCTGTGATTTTTATTAGGTTATTTTAGCATTTTACTGATTAATCATACAACAGTCATACAGAAATTAATTTTTGAAATTCTCAACCAAATCTTTAAATATCAATGTTTTATATTTTACCAGTGAAATACACTTTTTTGCTTGACGAAAATCTATATTGTCATCAGTATTTCGTTTTAATAAATGGAATTAACAAATCCCGTCTGAACATCTTTTTAGTGTAGTTATAAATAGTAAATTATGAAAATTTCGACCCTCCTTAACATATATATGAAGAGTATACATTTCAATGTAAGGAGGCTGGAAACAGTCAACTTTGGTTTTATGTTAAAGAAGTACTTTAGGTTAGGTTAGACGTAATCAGGTTAAAAACCTCGCCCTACGTTTCTCACTAGATGGAATCCAACAACAAGGCCTATCTGCAGCTTTGAAAGAACTATTGCTCTCTGGTAGATCCAAATTCTAGTCACCCAGCCGTTATCATTAGGCCATTTGAGACCCAACTGACATTCTCCTGTTTGCTTCCAAATACCTAATATCTCAGCATAGTGCAAGTGAAGGTGAATTATGCAAATCAATGACTGTATTGCAATTTAATGGATAGAATTTAATCAGTACTAAAGGAATTGAGGGACCTAACATTATTCACTACTCAGTAACCAATCAATTGTAAATAAGGATTTTGAGAAAGATATACCTGTTTTCTTAAGGGAACTGACGTACAATAGATCTTTTACAGAATGAATAGCTCAATTTTATCATCACAAACTGCAACTATAAAGATCTTAGATAGATTTTTTTTGATGGATACCAAAAGATCTGGAAACTTCGGTCGGTGATTTCCTGTGAGTTATCCAACATCAAGTTGTCTAATTAGATCTGTGGAATTTCAACCACTATTGAAGACTAGTTAACATAACATTAGTCACCTAATGGAACTTATCACTTTATCTTTTTTTTTAATATCATAACAACTTATTGTCATTATTGATGTCTATTTCTATTAACTTTTTCTCGATATTTTACTGTTTTAGAATTGTTTTGGTCTGTATGGAGCAGATTTCCTATTAACTGCCAATGACTATAGAATATGGCTTATCGAAATTAATTCAAGTCCATGTATGTCACCGAGTACATCCGTTACAGCTGCATATACTACTAATGTGTTAGAAGATACTTTGAAAGGTAATTTATGTAATATTTTCTTTCTTTCTCATACTTCTATTGTGTTTTATGATTGAAGAAAAAAATCACTTCAAACAGAATTTAAATATTTATTATTAACTAATTCCTTTTTTTAATTGTTACAAAAATTTAAAAGGGAAAATTATATTTGTAAATCTCAGCGATTGAACTTGAAGTCAATCTTAAGGTTTTATTTGGTAATTTGATCCAGGCTCTTGTGATTTGAACAGTTTATGTTATTTTTGCACTCATATTCAACTGTCATGATATATCATCCACAAACAGTTATTACATTTGATATCATAGACACGAGTTTTTAATTCTATTTTAAAAAAGGAATATTAGTCCTAAATGAAATATTTCTAAAAATTATATCATATAATTTTTGTTTAATTCAATAAATTACTCAATATTGAACTGTTTAGTTATCTTATTTAATTTCAAATATTAGGCGCTTACAGAATGTTGAAGTATGCCAGCCATTCAGTTAAAAATACTCAAGTATTGTATCAAAGATGTGTTGGAGGTTGTAACTCTTTGGCTACCTCTATCATCAAAGAACAGTTTTCCATCTAACTTCTTAAAAATGGAACTGGATTCGTGCTGATCTTGAATACCGTGTCACTATGATAATTCATATAAAATAGTTCACACAACATAACACTATGTAAATGTTACTTCTAGTGTCTGAGATGTAATGAAGTATAATGTGAGAAGGATATTCCTTCAGGTACTTTTATAACCATAAATTGTGTAGATACCCAAAAACAAAATGAATTGGTATGATTTACTCGGAAATTTTCACTAAATTATTATGTTAAGTCATTTGACTTGATATGCACATTGAATAAATCAGAGAATATTTACTTTAACTACTGAATCATGGAATTTTCAATATCTGATTCATTTTAAAACTTCATTCATTAAAATATTACACCAACTAATGCAGTACTTGATTTGGATATCTGTTAACTAAACATGTAACATTTCGTGTATAATATCGGATGTTAAGTCACTAAAACTATATTACTTGTGTGTGTCAGTGTTTTCATTTCCACTTTGTCAGCATTATAAACTTTGTTAATTGGTTAAGCCCTGTCGGCATATATGCACCTTGAGTTCATAGCCTGAATAATTCTCTTAGATGATTTAGGATATTTAGAATATGGTCAGCAGTGGAATCCGACTTATCTCTCTCTGTCCCTCTTTGGTACTATCTATTTCAACCCCAAAGATTGCTTCTTCTAACTATTTCATTACCAAAAATCAATTGACCTCCATTTATTGGACTGAATTGCATTCAAATAGTTAGTTCATTTTCTGAACAGTTTGAAAACCAAGTCTTATGATAGAGTGACCATATAAAATTGATGAGATCTTACTCTAGTTGATGGATCTCAGATAGAATGAAACGAAAGTTATGGATGCCGCTACTCATCGCAATCTACATATACGATTTAATTCATTTCAAGAAAATCTCATTACAATATTAGTTCATTCCTACTGATCATTTAAACAGATATCATTTTCTGTTTATTTCACTTCTTTACTAGGTAACCAACCGTATCATTCGTATTGATGATATAAGATAATTAACCTCATTGTTAAATAACTCTCAAATAGTGTTATATAGACAACTAGATAGTTTTATTTATAATCGTGTCCATTATTTTTTGTATTTTTAGGGGTTGATTCAGTGTATAACAGTAAAGAAAACAGAATCTAACTAATGTGTCTAGTTAACGAACGTTTTTCAATCTGGTTCTGTATTCCTGACTTAATTAAGTGTTTTTATTCATATTTTAAGTAAATCACTGTATGATGAATACATTGGACAAGTCAAATTGTTTTTTTCCATTGTTTCATTTTAATTAGTTGTTTTAGACAGAAAATTTGGTCGTAACTCAGATGTTGGACGTTTTGAATTACTGTATCGACAACCATTTCATAATCCAAATAATGTATACACTGGTATGGAACTTTATGTGATTGGATCGAAAATAAATAAACCACATGTAGAAAATTCAAACGTTTTACGTTGTTTTAATAAAGAGACGCTTGAAATCAATGGTCAATCATTGTCAGATCCAGAAGTGAATGTAATGTCAACAGTTGTTAAAGATAAGAATGATACATCTCCTTCTATCCTGTTAGTTTACAACTGAGATTATATCAAGTTTATTTTACCACTTAAATATATTAATTGAAATTTATTGTTCACTGAATATTAACCAATGTTATGTCCTATAATCATTATTGCTAACTGAATTCTACCGAGGAATTGCTTAAAACAACTTCACATCAAATTCAAATTGACGACTGATGGTTAGGAAGACATAGTGGGAAAAATTATAACCAGATTTTACGCTAGTCCCAATACAACTCGTAGAATAGATAAAATCACATCGATGTAGTATGTTTTGTTATCGTTTACCGAGTCATTTCAGGAAAGGATGTTCATTACAGAGAAGGAGCAGTCTCTACATAAGTGAGTAGTGGGGAAATGCACACATATTGAATGAGTCAGTTATAAAAATCCTTCTTACATGTGAATGATACATAACTGAATGAATATGGTAGGTAATGATCATTTTATTATGCTGTGAAGCTAAGCATTAAATAAATACATTTTACCGTTTATACACATGTACACAATCTCATTGTGAATTTCATCACAGTTGTAGATAGTGGGAAGTGTAGACTATTGGCAGTTGAAGGATACATTTCGATGCTTATAAGAACGAATTTTCAATAAATGATATACCAGTAAACTAGATATTTGAATATATCTAGCTAATTTGAAACCCCAAACTAATTATACTTATTCTAGTTGACTTCCTAATCTTCGTCAGTTTTAAAACTATACTACTTACTAAATATGAATAGTTTAACTTTATTTACTCATATTTTGCTTTTATCCTGATATTTTAGAAGGCAAATGGAACCATCAACACAAAAAGTAATTAATCTACCGAATATAAGTCATGGATATGCAGGCACTACGGAAATTGTAAAGGGAATGACTAGTTTATTGCCACCTATGAAGTGTGATAAATTTTCAGTTCAAAATCAACACACTAACCATCAGTCAACTGTGAGTTCAAACACTGATAACCCAGTCAAACATTTACAATCTATTAAGAAGACAAATAGAGATACACGATCCAAATCTTCCAAATATGAAAATAAACCAAAAAGTTGTAAAGAATCTAATGTTTTAAAATCTGTAACAAATATTGATTACTTAACTAATATGGAATCTGGTGCTTGTCGATTTAAATACAATGATAAAAATCTTGAACTCAATGATATTTCACATGATAACAATCTTTTAAAATCAAGCAGATCAGAGTGTTGTCTAAAACCATCTGAAGAAGAAGAAGAAGCAGTTAAATTAAGATCACTAATGGGTTCCTCTGGTAGTTTAACTATTAAAAATTCCTCTACATTCAACTTGAATAAATCAAGGCTACACCTAGTGAATAAAAGTCAACTGAACCAGCATAATGAAAATGAAACAAGCAATTCAACAGATTTATTAAATTCTAATCACAAAAGTATATTCGATAATAATAATAATAATAATAATAATAATAATAATACACATTCTTCATCACCATTACTACCTAAAATCCACAAAAATCGAAATTCAGTATTTAATTTAAAATTAACTAGTCTGAATCGTTCGAAACTCACAACAAATCAAACAAAAAAATTACCAATCAAATTTGAACACATAATCAAAGAAAATTTGAATATTGACACAATCAATAATACCATTTCATCGAATTTTATTTCAACACAAACTACTACTAATTTATTAATGAATTATTTACATGAAAAGAATTTGACTAAAGAATTAAATTGTGAAGAAATAATCACAGATAAAAATCAACAATTATTGAATAATAATAAATCCAACAAACTACCGAAAATTGTTAAAATCAAACCTACTTCTGCATATCAATCTACAAATTCTATGCATAAAAGATCGATTCATAAGAATTGTTTTGATAAAATTAAATTAAATATTATACAATTTAATGGAGAAGATCGCAATAATTATTTGAAGCATATTCCACAGGAAAAATCAAATCAAAATAAATTGTATAAACATTTACGCAGAAGACGTATTGTACTGCGTAAAATCAAGAAAACTAGACATTCTCCTGTAGTAGGCAGAAAGCTATCAGCTCGTCAATCACAATTGAAACGTTTTAAAGTGTTAATAGTCAATCAGAAATCGATCGATTTAACTAGGAACAATAATTGTTCAATGAATTTAAATAATAGTAATGATTGTAGTACTACTACTACTGATGACTATGATTTCACAATCAATTCCAGCGATAATATCACTTTGCATGGTAATGGTCGTAATGAATTATTAAAGATTATTACATCACCAAAATCATCTCGGAAGCAAAGTTCCAGTGATTCAGGATTTGATGATGAAAAATCAACTCCATTGAAAACTTCTTTACCATTAGTTAGTCCTACGGTAGTGATTACTCATAGAAGTAATAATAATAATAATAATAATAGTAATGATAAAGTGTTATACAATGATTTCTTACCTTGTAGCTTTATTCATTCTAGTAAAATGATCATTAATCATCCTAACACAGATAATATAAAATTCTCCAGGCATAATATGAATAATAAAAAGTTTAATCTGAAATTTCTTTCTCGTATTGCAAATAAATAAACATAATTGACAGTAATACTTGATTGATTTTACTGTAGCCTCACAGGGGTTCCCTGTTTAATTATTATTATCTTACTCCCAAATATTCTACTCTGAATTATTGAATTATTTTTATTCTCTAGTATAAGCATACATTTTTAATTTATATTTGCTATTATGATAATATCCTTAGTTTACTGTGATAATTAATTACTCTTCAACTTTGAAAATTCATTATTAAAGAAGTGTTTTAATTGGTGTGTATATTTTTTTTTATTCACTGAATAATACAACTTACTTTCTATCATTTCATCATAAATGTTGTATAAGTATTTCTTTTTCAAAATATGTATGTAAATTATTTAGACGTTTTTTTTTTCATCAATGAGATATGATGTTTTTTTTGCAAAATTTAATAAATTTATTAAGAAGCAGAGTTTATAAAAAAAAAACATTTTTCCGCTTGAATTTAATTGTTTGTTTTAGTTATTACCGCCAAATTGAAAATAGACATTATTTACAACGATTGAAAATTTCGACTTGGAAAAATATACTAACATTTTAGATAGATAGTTATACACTTTCTCGGATCATGAAGACTTCACTGTCACAGAGGAAGCATAGAATACAATGGATAATTAGGATGCAACTAGACTATTTGGAATTCGCAGATGATCTAGCCCTTATATCTTACACACAACAACAAATGAGGAAGAAGACGACTAGAGTAGCAGCGGACTCTAAAGCAGTCGGTTTTGATATAAACAAAGGAAAAAGCAAGGTCCTCCGATACGAGACAACATACACCAACTTAATTACAGTTGATGAGAAAGCTTTGTAGGAGGTGAGAAATCTTTTCACACTAGAGGAGCATCATCATTGAGCAAGGTGGATTTGATGCTGATTTAAAGACAGGGATCAACAAAGCAAAGGCAAGACGTAACTTGCAGAAATCCTCGAGCAAACACTAACTTGGAATCCTCAAAGACAAAAGGAAAAAAGCTAGACCGAAGAACACACTATGCCCAGGATCGGAGACAAATATGAAAAGAATGAGTAACAGTTGGTTAGAACTGCAAAGTAACGCTGAGGATATAAGTAGGTTGGAGAATGCTGGTCGGCAGCCTATGCTTCATTAGGGTTAATGGGCTTAAGCAAATAAATTAGGTTTTTATGCTTAGTAATTTATACTACTTATTATTAATAAGTCGATCAGTGTCATGTTCAAATAGTAATTGGATAATGGATAGCTCATTCACAATGCCATCATCATCAACATTGTCATCTTTAAAAATGCTTATTTGTAAACTGTATAATATGTTCAATCAGTTAAATGTAATTCAGTAAAGAAAAAAAATCTATTTCACAAAAATTTATCTTTTTTCAAAAATTAATTAATTTATCAACTAATAATTAAATACATTTTTTTCGTAATTATTAATTTTCGTAGAAATGGAAAAAAATTTTAGTGATTTTTTTATTTTCTATTTTACAACAGAATAATTATATGGTTTATTAAGAGTTTTATTGTAAATCGATATATTAGCTGAATAATAATAGTTGATAAAGTTTTGATCGATAACTGAGCAAATTTTTCTTATTATGATTTTTGGGCATAGCCTAATGATATTAATTGTAGTTGGAAGTAGAACTTTACAAAATAATTAATTTGAAACTTTCTTTTGTAAAAATTTGAAGTTTATGTAATCAGATGGATCATTTGAAAATGTTTTTGCACCTTAATACTTACTTACATAAATAAATAAGTGATACACTATGATAATTAGCTTGTAAATAAAAATTTCAGCTATCGGAATGAAATCTTCACATTTAGAGTTTAATCTAGTCACTGTAAAGTTGGGGGATATTCATATGAATCAGTGAAGTCATCACAAAGTTCTAATAAGTCTACAGTGACGATTAGATGTACATGTGAGTAGAGTTAGTCGTGGAGATAAGAGAGATATTAGGGGGTGTAGGAAGGATTTAATTTTGACCAGTTTGGTCTCTTGTGCTGTTACCAAATGCCTTGTCAAACTATATTTTGCGGTGTAGGAATAGGTTGGACGAAAGCTAGGGACGGCAAGACAAGAACATGGATGAAATCCGTGAAGCCATTGACAAGTGGACTGGGTCATGTCGGTAGATGTCGACTACCTGATTGAGGTAGGTAGATGTTAGTAATCGATGGTTATAGACCCTGAGTGATATGGCTCAAAACCGTTTGCAATGGCGCAGGTGCATTCATTATTTGTGTTCTCTCAAATCCTAAACTTTTTAATTCTTCATCACTTTATCTTTATCTTTTTAAATCTATTTCACTAGATTCTACTTCTTGATTAATATCTTCTAATCCTAACCTCTCCGACTAGTACTTATGCCTTTACTAACTCTACTACTATTGGATTTGAACTGACAATTACATCTCTGTGCTAATGTGGTATGACAGTAAGTACGTACGAAGTTCTATGTTGCTATCGACTGATTGATTGATTGATGAGATATACATATTGTTGGGGACGTTAGATCTCCAGAACTCACTTGAAAAAGGTCCTAATTTTGGATTTTGCGTTTTTGTGCATGAACTGATTAGTTGACCTTGAGAGTACATTTCCCACTCGGAAACTCATTGGTTGATGTATTATTTTAGTACGCTATTTTTGTGTCTCTCCCGAAAAGGTTTCTATCTTGTATAAATACACTTCATTTGTGTGCTTGTGAACCTCATATTTTCTGGGTGCTTGTAGAATACACTTTCTACCCCTTACCAACAATTCTTGATATTGTTAGCAGGGCTTGGGACAACTGATTAGCATAGCCTACCGTGTCACTCTTTTCATTTGTCTTCGCTTTCGTTTATCGAGTAAAGTAAACTCGTAATAGTTTCAAGCATATCAGTTGACGAGCATATCACTTATAAAGATGGTGGAGAAAATTTGTGTAGCGCATGTGGATGATTATGATGGAGTTTTGTTCTCCATCCAGCTTAGAGAACGATACTCCATCACTCATTCATTCAGTGAACATAGTAAGTAGAATTTTCAATAATAAAATATTGTCAGACTATTCTATAATAATTTTCATTAGCATAATTTCTTGTTTACTTCTTTCTGTGTGTGTTTATTTATTATAAATCTTTTAATTCTTGATTAGTATTTAAATAGAATATTGAAACAGTAACGATTTCAATGTGTTAGATACAAAGTTATTAATTTCTAAAAAAAAAATTGATATACATGACATTTAAATTGAATTTAAACTAAAGAGTTCAAACTATAAGTTATAAATTTGAAAATGACAGAACTTGTGCATTAGGGAGAAAATCTTGAAATTTATTCTGTCTAAAAACAGAATACAACTATAATTACTGTAATCTAAATTGATATTGATGAATACTGTAAAAATTAAACAAGACACCGTAACTCATTGCTTCGCTACAGCTGACTGACTGCTATTTACTTAATTACTGAGAGACAGATAAATATACATTGTCTAGCAGATGGTTTGATTACTGACTGATTTACAGTATCTGAGTTTCTGTCAATTTTTGTTTACTACATCTTCTCAAATATCAATTTTGTACAAAGGAATAAGTGGGGCCACGATTCGTGTCAACTTTCAACTGTGAACGAAATATAAACTGTGAGATTATGTATGAATATACCATGCATTGTAAATATTGAAATCTTTCATTTTCATTATAAGGCTATGAACACTATTCAGTTTCATTGCTCACCAGCTGACTAGCTTCGTGATGAAATTCTCGGATTTATAGTGAGATGGCGTAACTAGTGAAGTTCAACCTTGTCCGGTATGAAGAAGTTACCCAGTGGATGAGGTCACGCAATATCATGAAGTAATTAAAGTTAGACTCTAAAACCGTGGTATGTTGGCGCAATGGTCTAGATTAAGTGTCCGCGCGCGAGAGACCAAAGGCCCTGGGTTCGACTCCTGTATGCGGTAATGGATGCACACTGCTAATATGTCCCATACTAGGACAAGAAGACCCCCAGTACTCCCAAATTTCTAATGATTGTTTACCATTGATCCGTTCATGATTTCAATGAAATCTTTCATTTTCAAATAATTTCCTAAACATAATTTTATTTAAATATCTGATAATATCCTTAGAATAAATTCAATTGTTTGATATGCTAAGTAAGTATATAAACAGGTGTAATAAGAATGAGATTATCTCGTCTTAGAGCCTAACAGAAAAAAAGGTTCAATAATTATTTCATTGCAACTTTCTAATACTAAAATCAATGTTGAATTCATTCATTATTTGATAAGTATTAACGAAATAGTCGGAAAACTTTTCGGCGATAAATCATCTAACTATGATGTATTCATCATATAGTTATAATCATAGTCTTGCGTTACAAGTACATTTTAGTATTTTCGATTGATTTCACTTAGTAAATTCAAAACGATGAATGAAAATATCTGGAAAATGTTAACATTTTATAGTAATAATAATAATAATAATAATACTATTATTACTCAATGAGAGTTATGGTGATCATTGTTTTTACAGATTGAAATCGTGAATCATATACCAGGACGAAACTTCCGTCCAGTGCTTCCACGTTTCAAATGCCCGTCAAACAATGATTCATTCATGATTTAAACGTTTGAAGACACTAATCTCCATAACTCTAATTGAAAAATCGTACAATGTGCTCGCTAGGGACGAGCTTCGTGAGGGAATTCACGGAGTTCTAGTGCGAAGACGTGACCAGTGGAGTTCAACCCTGTCGGGTGTAGGCAGTAACTACCGAAAACAAACGGCTGAGGCATCATAAAATCCATAGATGAATCAGAGTTAGACATTGACACCGTTAGAAGCTGACCCAGTGGTCCAGAAGTTAAAGGTTCGCGAGCAAGACTGAAGGTCATGCGTTGAAATCCTGCGAGTGGTAGTAGTCATAGATACGCACGGCTGTTGTGTCCCATACCAGGACGAAACGGCCATCCAGTGAGTGTTTCCAGGTTTCTAATGGTAATCCAACAATGATTGA